AATTGTAAAACTGGGTGTTTACCCGTGTACATAAATGAATTAAATTAAATTGAATTATATAAATAGATCTTCCTTTCAATTTAAAGTCGCTCAAAAAAGATTCCCTTGTTCCCTTTTCGGAACCAGTTATCGTTCAGACATTTCTCGCGTTCTCTAAAACGAAGGGGATGTTTAAGCGTTCTCCTCGACATAACCTGTATTTCATCTTCGTGTATTGCATCGTCTAGGAATTTATATTCGCGTTATTTTAGCCGAGATAATGCTACGTGTTCTTACTACTAGATATCTATCTTAATTAATTCCATAACATCATGACCTGTTTATACGAAAGAAGAAACCTCAGGTATATCGACCGTCACAATACTTGATACCTGCTATTCGTTACACTTAGATCTCCACGAAAATACCCATTACATTTAGTTTGATGAAAACCGAAACACAAGAGGCTTCCTTCCATCGACCGAACATTTTAGAAATTCGCTAACTATCCTAATCACGACCGCCCTTACACCTCAAGTTTCTTCGACTAGAAACCTGGCAGCGGCAATACCGGAGAGAGAAACAACAGCCTGCTTGAACCCAACGAATCGTTTCCAGTATCGCAAGCATCACGGAGAACAGTGAGGTATAAAGTAATATGAAAACTGTCGCTGAGCAGAGTATCGCTATGGAAGCTGTCTAAGCGAGTCGCCTAAACTCGGACTCGGAGGATTCCGGCTTGAACTACGAAACCAACAAACGGTCGCTTTTATTGCTCGTTCGATGCGCGACTTTGGGGAAATCATTTCCCGTGTCTATTTGAGCTAGCCCGAGAACAGGAGCGTCCTCGTCTCTCGCAGGATTCCCCTAAATATTTCGTAGATACAAGTGTATAATACAGTCACAGAGTTATGTACAGTAACCTACGTTCAAGCTAAACGTATCGGTGCCGACGAAAAGAGGGCCTCGGCCTCTCGATTCGCGGCCGGGCCGGGTTTTCTTCTTCCGTTTCTTATAAAAATAGTATCAGTAGTGATCTTCATGGCTACGCGGTTTCGTAAAAACGAACATATGAGAAAGGTACAGTCGCCGGTTTCCATCCTCTGACATCTGGCACCCGAACGGATGAATCGAACGGAAGCTTCGCGTCCCATCCCCCGCGGATCTTCTTATCCGCGTATGTATAGCGTACGTATCTGTCTGTCTGTGTGTGTGTGTGTGTGTGTGTGTGTGTGTGTGTGTGTGTGTGTGTGTGTGTGTGTGTGTGTTTGTCTGTATGTGCGTGTGCCGCTGTTATAAAAAATGTACGATCGTTCAAAATGCTCAATGCTACGCACAGCGAGCGCTAACGGGTGGACTTTGTGCATTTCTCCCAGCGATTTTAATCCAGCGATCGCGCAAGAATGAGTCCTTCTCGGGATCACTGCGACACGCGTTTCCCACGGGATCTTGCACGTAGGACATCGATGAGGCAAAAGTACCTGTTACGAGACACCGCTCAATGGTGACCCATTCTTAAAACGGTAGCAAAAATAATAGAATTCCAAATTATCTATTTGGAAGAATTCTACCCATATTTTTGAACATTGTTCTCTATTAATTCATTCGTGCAATGTTGTAAAAAAAAAATGTTTATTTAAATACAGATGTTTCTAAGCAAACGGATGTTCCAGACATACTGTTTCATATCGTGTACGTCAATTTTTCCAATGTCTCAATTCATGAGACACGGGGAGATGGTACGAAAACGATGTTCCATAATAGATACGCGCTCGTACTTCTCTATTTTATTCATAGTAAATAAATATTTCAAAGTTCACTGCGTTATCTGGAAACATCAATGTATCGAACAGTGGTATAAATATTCAACGATAACACTTTCCAGTTGTAATAAAATCGATGATGATCTTACATCCCCTGGAAATCGTTCCATAATAGGTACTTTTACCGTCATCTAGGCCCGATCTTAGATTCGTCTGCGTGGTTGCGCGATTATCCGTGTGTCTAGGCTTCGTTTCGCGGTTCTAAAGCGATCGCAGTTGTTCGTTGAATAGTTGGCGTCCGAGAGACAAGTCTGCTGGCTCTAGTTAGGCCCATCGATCCTTTATGTCCCGAAGATCGCTGTCTTTAGCCTAGAGGATATCTCGATAACGTTACATGCGATTATTCGTTAGAAGCGTTAGAATATAGTCGCGTTGCTTTCAATGGAATTTAAAAAAATGGAACGTATTTAGCAGTATTTTAATAGGGATGGTGGTTTGAAATGTCTTCAGGACATAAAGGGTTTTGGTAAAGTATATCTTTATTGCTATCACTTGACTGGGAATCTACGCGAAATTATCTGCTCGTTGAACGAACAATAGAAACTTTTTACTTCAGACAATAGAAAATTTGTATCCAGCTTTTGAAATTCATGCTTCAGCTTCTGCTTCGGTTAAGTAGAAAGTAGATAAGATATCAGATAGAAATAGCTAATGAGTAGAAAATAGCGAGTTCATTCTTCAATTATTCATTGAATATCTTTTCAAATAATTCATGTTTTCAATCATTTTAATAGACGAAGGATAATATACATGGATATTTAAAAATTCTTTCAATCGTTCTATTATTTTAAATCGCGACCTCCCAATTTCGTCATAAATACAGAAAATCCATAGCCCAGTCATTAGATTGTAGATACTTAATCCTTAATTAGACCAGTTCCTCTCAGACGCCAGCCTCCAACCTCTGACTATAACAGCTTTGCACGCGGAACAGACACGTTCCGCGTTGTTGTTTCACTAATTTTCGCTAAAACGCCCGTGCCTGGTGAACAAGCTCGCGAGGCTGGTTAATTATCTAGAAAGGACTACGCACGTACGACCTGCATACGAAATTATTTACCTAGAAGGCGTAAACTTATTCAGCCAGCCCGACTGATGGGAGTACTCGACGTTTTTTCTCTAGCGCAGAATGAATGCCTCGGGTTCAAGTACTTTTGATTTCGCACCGATGCAATAAGAAATGTCGACCACTCGGTGAAAGAAATTATCGGTTTCGCAAGATGCGGTGGACAGCACATGTTTCAACCCCTTGCACTACGATATCTTTTACAGTTACGTCGATCAGTACTTCTTCTTAAATTCTTACGGGAGAAAGAAAATATTTATTATGTTATATTTTATCGCATTATATTTTATTATATTGTATTATATTTATCGTATATCGATCTTCGCTTTAATGTTCAAATGTTGACAACAGTAGAGTAGAATTTCATTTCAATTTAAAACGAGTACGTAACATACAGTTTCAATAGATTACGTTCGAAATCTTCGTGACGAGCCTGACACGATATTATAGTTCAAGGGGTTAACAACAGGATTAGTCGATCGTTAGGCGGTGGCTCGTCCAGACTGACCGTGCTCTTTACAAATTCGTTCAGCATTTCGAACGTGGTAATAGCCTCGCGGATCAGGAACACAATTATGCAAACGAAATCGGCTGATTTTTCCATAGAACTTTTGTACTTTCATCACTTTTTCCGAAAATGGTATACCTCAGTCGAGAGTTTTCTTCTCAAGTCTTTGCGACATAACGAACGCATTTAACGATATCAGTTTCAGGATTGTGCTGAATCAATTACATTGTAATTGAATCGAATTACGAGATTTGAATTACGTGTTACAATGTGATTGAATTATAATGTAATTGAATTACTTTGTTATTATAATTCCTCGAGTAATTCAATTGTATTTCTGCACAATTTTTTCTGAATCAATTTATTCAATTCACAGTATAATTTTGCTCGGTACGATGGATCGACTCACAAAGTATTAGGTCATCCCAGAAGTCAGCATTTTTATAAAAATGTCTGCACTTTATATTTGGAGAAAACTCTAATTTTTGTATTTAAAAGACGACAATACAATTAAAGACGCCATTACAAATATGTCTAAAGTATGTCAGGTGAACCAAACATTAAAATCCTAATTACGGAAATTTTTAATTCAAGACAACACGAATTTCTTCAAATTTTGTCAAAATTTGATTGCTAGATGAAAAAATGTGATTGAAGCGATTACAAAAGATAAACGATTAATACAAAATGATGTCGCAGCACTTGCAAACATGACTTACGGGACGTCCTAACACCTAATTTTGAACGTGTCGAAATATTCCCGACCAGCGAACTCCACCCCCCCACACCACGCGTCGCAGTCTCTGTAGAATGTGTGTTTGAATTTTGAGTGTTTGGGTTTCGATCTACGCAATTCCACTGGGTTCTCCGATCAAATTTAATTGACCACCGAAGGCTATTCCTTTGACTAGAATGTAAACATCGTTCTCGCATACAGCGCACACCCACGTGTTCCCATCAACGTCTGAAGGCTTCTGGCGGAGACAGCACCGCGGTAGCTTCGAACGACCAATTGACTTTATACCTAATACATAATTATGCCTAGGTACACGTAGTATACAGTTCTATAATAAATGGCAAAGGACACATCCGACGCAACGATCCACACTCCCGAATGGTAACGTTTTACTAACCATTTTAGCGTGTCTTTAAGCAGCTCGAGAGTTCTATTAAATTCTTTCCATCGAGTTGATTTTTAAATGGAGAATGAGCCATGCTAAAAGGAAATGCATTATACAAAAGTCACGCTTCTCGCAAAGGAAGCACCCATACTGTGAAACCTGATCCGATATCTCGAATCCCCATCTCGATTGCACAATTCCAGCACAATCTTATCGAACCTTCCGCGAACCGCGTGAAAGAAACGATATCGAAAGAACAATTTCAACGAACAATGGCTTAGAAATGAATGATTTTTACTCGCGAAGACAAATAACATTTTATTCGCGAATGAACTAGTCGCAAATAAATTATTCGTGAATCAACTTCTCTCGAACAGTTTAATCACGAATAACGTAGTAGCAGCTTATTGGCGAATAATTTTATTCATTCGAATAATTATCCAGATAAAAAGTTATTCGAATATTGTCCAACTCTGAGGCAGACCTCAATAAAACAAGCATTGATATTTTTAAAATAAACAACTTATTATTGGTAACAGAAACCCAGGCCGCTCGCGTGTACTTCGCAACAGAATACTTCAAAACAGAATACTACAAGCAGCTTTAAAACCGCTAGGGTTAATTTCACCTCACACGGTCCGCGGAAGATTAATATGTCGAGGATCGATCGGAAAGTTTCGCGCCTCGCGTGGACCTCGTCTTCGAAGTCCCAAGATTTTAATATTTATCGAGCCAACTTGAGGCCTGCACCCCGCACACGTGAGTAGAAAAGAGAAGAACAGGTGATCGCGCAGTCCCATACTATTTCAGAGGCCGCATTGCAAGTCAAACGAGTAATCGTTGGCTCTTAATGCAATATAATTGACTGGTTGATAGTTGGAGATCCATCGTGCGCCATCGTATGGTTCTTAGAGTTCCCCTCAGCTTTCCTCGCGTGCCCTCAAGTCTGCTCGATAATTCGATAATGGAAATCGCACACAAATATGGCTTCGTTTCGACCGAAACGACGACGAATGATAGAGGAGACAAACGAAATCCGATACTGGGGAGTAAAAAGCTTAGGATCCTGCACGGTGTACCGATAATTGTGTACCCTTCTCACCAGGACATGCGTCGCACTTCGTTCAATTGTTAGTGTTTCTGGTGGTTGACGGAGGATTTTCGTGTTTGTTAAAATATGTCGTCGATGTTGGCGTAATCGCGGTTCCAGTATCCTCCTTGATACAGCCAGTCCTCTTGACCCGTGTAAGGGTTGATGTCTAACCGGAACCACCTGTAACGATCGATTTTATAATATTAGAAAAATTGTTAATAAGGGAGCACGTTATTCTCCGTTCGGTGTCTAATTAAAAACCGTACATTTACATTAGATCGATTCTAAAGAAACAAACTGAAACATTCAACGAATACAAATATCGAGTAAACGTATGCACGCGTTTACGAATACCGAGAGGGTGAATAATGCATTTTTCTTGAATAATTCACGTGACAGTTGTCCGACAGAGAATCTAATTATATCAGAAATAAATGCGACCGTTGTTATATCTGGGCTTGTGTAATGAGAAATCAAAGAGAAGAAAAGTTTGCCTCACGATTTAATTATATTTTATATTGATCAAGAAATAATGACTTGAACAATTAATTATGTGTGGCAAGAAATTCGATATTTCATTCGACACCGGCTGATAGAAATTATCAGACTAATTTATAAGATTTATGTTTCATTATTTCGAAGAGAACTGAAAATAATTTTGAAGTGATCGTTATTAACAGATAATAGATTTTGAAATTCCATACCTGGGTACATATTCCTGACATTTCTTGTGCTTTCGATTTTTACGCATATCTCGTTGCTTCTCCTCGAGCCGAGTTTTCTCTGCCGCGGCGCCATCCTGATCTCCATTTTCCAATTTCCTGATATCCGGCCTCAATCTGGAGTCCGTTGGACATATCACTTTTTCAAGTTCCGGTAGCAATTCGTTCAACGACATCGCGAACGATGTGAACTGGTAATACTGGAAACGGACACGAGAAGTTCACGCGGTTGAGCATTATTCTATATATTAATCTTGCGACGTGTAACAGCTACCATAAATAACGAGCAAAGAACTGTGACTAATAAACTGCAAGATCCATGGAAACTTAAATATAATTGGTGAATTCCATAAAAACTTAAATGCCTCAAAGAAAAAAATAAATGCTTCACGAAAAACTGAAATACTTTGTTAATTGCACAAAAATTTAACTATTTTGTCAATTCTATAAAAAAATTGAATATTCTTATTGAACAGAAGAGCTTATTGAACACCATTTTTCATTATCTTCAAAGTATAAAGAGCATCTATTTCTTCACCGCCTTGTTTGAATGTTCGTAACGATTATTGTAATCCAATAAACTGTTTAACTTTGAAATTTACCTCTGAACTATTGGGCAACCTTGGAGCAGCTTCCCAGAGGGTCGTGGATCCAGGGATATCATCGATCGTTGGGGTGTCCTCTCCGTCCATGCTTGCTGATGGATCGTCAATTGCATCCTCGAATTAGATAAAGACAATTTATTGTTAAAAAGAAATAGATACCAGATGTTGTATTCGAAACCAAAATTGAACGAGTAAAATGCCAGAAATTAAGAAATGTTGTTACGTTCATGTAATAATAATGTAAATCGTGTATTAAGTTTCGAACAAGCCACAAGCAGATAAATACAATTAATATATATACTACTGTGATCAAAAAGTAAGGTGAAATTGTCATTTAAAACTCCCGGACATTAGGAAGGCAGGCAATTGTTTTTTTCCTAGGTTGGTAGGACTGTCTATAACCTGTCTCTTATACACATCTAGATGTGTATAAGAGACAGGGTTTGGACTGAGCCAAATGATATTCCAACACTATCAGCGAGGTCTCTCATTGTCAGTCGACGATTTTCAAGCACCAAATCTTCGATTTTTTTGGACGTGGCCCTCGTCGGTAGACGTTGATGGTCGTCCAGAGCGCGGTTCGTCTTCAACGCGTTCTCGGCCCGCTTTGAACTCGTTGTACCACTTATAAACGTTTTTTTGTGCCATAGTTTGATCACCAAAGGCCTTCCGCAACATTTTCAACGTATCCGCACAAGAATATTCGTTCCGCAAACAAAATTTGATGCAAGTTCTTTGCTCAACAAAATCACCCATTGTAAAAATCGAAAAATTCACTTTTGGTCGTTTACTAAAACACGTGTAACTCGGAGATAATTCTGTCTCTTATACACATCTAGATGTGTATAAGAGACAGGGTTTGGACTGAGCCAAATGATATTCCAACACTATCAGCGAGGTCTCTCATTGTCAGTCGACGATTTTCAAGCACCAAATCTTCGATTTTTTTGGACGTGGCCCTCGTCGGTAGACGTTGATGGTCGTCCAGAGCGCGGTTCGTCTTCAACGCGTTCTCGGCCCGCTTTGAACTCGTTGTACCACTTATAAACGTTTTTTTGTGCCATAGTTTGATCACCAAAGGCCTTCCGCAACATTTTCAACGTATCCGCACAAGAATATTCGTTCCGCAAACAAAATTTGATGCAAGTTCTTTGCTCAACAAAATCACCCATTGTAAAAATCGAAAAATTCACTTTTGGTCGTTTACTAAAACACGTGTAACTCGGAGATAATTCTGTCTCTTATACACATCTAGATGTGTATAAGAGACAGGGTTTGGACTGAGCCAAATGATATTCCAACACTATCAGCGAGGTCTCTCATTGTCAGTCGACGATTTTCAAGCACCAAATCTTCGATTTTTTTGGACGTGGCCCTCGTCGGTAGACGTTGATGGTCGTCCAGAGCGCGGTTCGTCTTCAACGCGTTCTCGGCCCGCTTTGAACTCGTTGTACCACTTATAAACGTTTTTTTGTGCCATAGTTTGATCACCAAAGGCCTTCCGCAACATTTTCAACGTATCCGCACAAGAATATTCGTTCCGCAAACAAAATTTGATGCAAGTTCTTTGCTCAACAAAATCACCCATTGTAAAAATCGAAAAATTCACTTTTGGTCGTTTACTAAAACACGTGTAACTCGGAGATAATTCTGTCTCTTATACACATCTAGATGTGTATAAGAGACAGGGTTTGGACTGAGCCAAATGATATTCCAACACTATCAGCGAGGTCTCTCATTGTCAGTCGACGATTTTCAAGCACCAAATCTTCGATTTTTTTGGACGTGGCCCTCGTCGGTAGACGTTGATGGTCGTCCAGAGCGCGGTTCGTCTTCAACGCGTTCTCGGCCCGCTTTGAACTCGTTGTACCACTTATAAACGTTTTTTTGTGCCATAGTTTGATCACCAAAGGCCTTCCGCAACATTTTCAACGTATCCGCACAAGAATATTCGTTCCGCAAACAAAATTTGATGCAAGTTCTTTGCTCAACAAAATCACCCATTGTAAAAATCGAAAAATTCACTTTTGGTCGTTTACTAAAACACGTGTAACTCGGAGATAATTCTGTCTCTTATACACATCTAGATGTGTATAAGAGACAGGGTTTGGACTGAGCCAAATGATATTCCAACACTATCAGCGAGGTCTCTCATTGTCAGTCGACGATTTTCAAGCACCAAATCTTCGATTTTTTTGGACGTGGCCCTCGTCGGTAGACGTTGATGGTCGTCCAGAGCGCGGTTCGTCTTCAACGCGTTCTCGGCCCGCTTTGAACTCGTTGTACCACTTATAAACGTTTTTTTGTGCCATAGTTTGATCACCAAAGGCCTTCCGCAACATTTTCAACGTATCCGCACAAGAATATTCGTTCCGCAAACAAAATTTGATGCAAGTTCTTTGCTCAACAAAATCACCCATTGTAAAAATCGAAAAATTCACTTTTGGTCGTTTACTAAAACACGTGTAACTCGGAGATAATTCTGTCTCTTATACACATCTAGATGTGTATAAGAGACAGGGATGAAATTGATTTGGAAGAATAAATAAAGAATTTACATTTTATAAACAAATTCACCTTACTTTTTGATCACAGTAGTATATTAATAACGGTGAGCAATATTTTATTCTTTAAATTGATTCTTAAAATTTCTTGAAATTGAAACTGTCTCAATTTATATTAATCTGTTAGCAAGCTGTGAATAAATGAATACAATAAATATAAGTTAATTCAATACAGTGTGTTATCTTTGAAAATATAAATCCTATGAAATTGAATGACATAGAAATTCTACGGTTGAATAATTGCAAACAGCATCTGAATTTCAAAAATCAAAACAAGCTTAACTGTTGCCGCCGTGAAGAAAAGATGAAAAGTTTTCCAGGAGAAACACCATTCATAAAGATTTCAAAGTAATTGATAATCTCGGACGAGATCCTGCATGAATGGAAAACTCTTGAATATGCGAAAGTTTAATGAATGCAAATACGGCTAAAAATAGTTGGTGCATGAAAGTACACTGATACGAGCTAAACACGTTCCGCATTTATTTCAAAGTTCATAATGTCCAGCATCCGTAAGCTTATTTTAGAAAGGATAACACCATATTAAGAACACAGTTTCTTTAGAAAACGCGTTATAACGAGCTGCGGAACCCTCGATTCACGAAACATTCGGTCTTTTACGAATGTGTTTCAATCCCAGTTTTCACAAACGAAATTATATTTCTCTCGTCGCTTCGTAAAAGCAAAAGGATTAATCCAGTCTTTGTTCGACGAGAGTCGAAGGCTAATCTTTATCGAAATATTTTACAAAGGGATAGCATGCATGGACAATGTTAACGCCACCATGAAAAATCCATTGAGAACAGTTTCAACTAGAGATCTATTTTAGGCGACTATCATGCGGTCATTGGAACGGCTAGTAAGAACGGATTTTAACTGCTCAGTTTATTGCATGCACAGATTGCCTGCATCGATTGCAAGACAGAGAAGCTGCATAGACACATCTCTCGTTCTTTAATTATTTTATCGAGTTGAAAATGATACAACAACTTTCTCAAATTCTTTAAATGTTTTCACCCTTCTCTATTCGACCCACTAATTTTCGTCATAAATGCATAAAGTCCGCAGTCTAGCGATCTCGCAAAGCACGGAGAAAGTAATATGTTCCATCGATCCCCTAGCTTCTGCATACGAATCAAACAACTTCATAGAACTTTTTACTTACCTGATGGGAAGGCTTGAAAGCTCCGACCTTGAGACTGTGTAGCTTCGCTAGAACTTTCTTGTGGCCAGGACTACCCTGAGGACTCTTCGCCTCCCGTTTCAACCTCTCCAGAGCTTCCTCGTACAACACCGGATCGCACATCTTCATCCTCTCCGTCCATTTTCCGTAAAGGAACAAAAGCTTCTTCTTACTGGACAAAATACGCAAACGTTAAACCCGCCTCGCTCGCATAGTATGCAACAAACTTGTTCATTATCCCCATTGGTAGGAGAAAAACAAACTAAGAAACCATTCAACTATCTAACTATAAATATACGTGACGGTATTTTTCATGAATTAATGGTTTTGAGAAGGACTTTGATACTTATGAATGGGGCAGAATAATAAATAGAATTCGAATCTTATGCATTTATGATAAAAATACGTATATCAAAGACAGAAGAACACAAATATTTGGAGAATTTGAAATTGTGCTGTTGAATCGTATTCAACTCATTACAAATTTTAAATTTTCTTTACAAATTTACTGAATCTTCTAATTGATGCAAACAATTTTTATTTCACATAAAAACCCGCGTTCTAGTATAATCAAAGAGAATTATATTAGCATAATTTCCTCGATTATTACGTATTCAAAAAGCAAAGACATTTGCGTATTTTATTTGTATTAACTGGATCTCGTTCCCAGGTGGCATAATTCAACTGAATTGCAACGAAAAATAATATTCGAAATAAGAGTTTTATAAAATGATTAATTAATACAGTTATGCAAGGAATGTTCCATTTATAACGATTTGTAGTATCCCTTCATTTTAGCAAATAAATTGAAAAACCAATAATTAGATTAATATTGTAACGGGTACGTCGAAATCGGAATCGCTGAAAGCAGGACCGTCGAAACCGAAATCGCTGAAACTGGGACCGTCGAAACCAGGATCGCCGAAAGTGGGACCGTCGAAACTGGGACCGTCGAAACCAGGATCGCCGAAAGTGGGACCGTCGAAACCGAGATCGCCGAAACCAGGACCGTCGAAATCGTCGAAACCAGGATCGCCGAAACTGGGTCCGTCGAAACCGGGATCGCCGAAACTGGGACCGTCGAAACCGGGATCGCCGAAACTGGGACCCCGAAACCCGGATCGCCGAAACCAGGACCGTCGAAACCGGGGCCCTCAAAGCCGGATCAAAATAAAAATCGACTAAATTAATTACAAGAAATATAAGTTAAATGAAAATGTGTTTCCTCTTTTAATAATTGTAATAAGTTTCAAATGATGTAATATCCTTAAAATTTTGCGACGTCTTCATAGTTTTGTATTTGACCTATTAATTTTTATAATAAATGCATAAAAATTCACAATGTATATTGTTATCGTGAACAGGTTATTACTAGAAGTCTCGATCGAGANAAAGCAAAGACATTTGCGTATTTTATTTGTATTAACTGGATCTCGTTCCCAGGTGGCATAATTCAACTGAATTGCAACGAAAAATAATATTCGAAATAAGAGTTTTATAAAATGATTAATTAATACAGTTATGCAAGGAATGTTCCATTTATAACGATTTGTAGTATCCCTTCATTTTAGCAAATAAATTGAAAAACCAATAATTAGATTAATATTGTAACGGGTACGTCGAAATCGGAATCGCTGAAAGCAGGACCGTCGAAACCGAAATCGCTGAAACTGGGACCGTCGAAACCAGGATCGCCGAAAGTGGGACCGTCGAAACTGGGACCGTCGAAACCAGGATCGCCGAAAGTGGGACCGTCGAAACCGAGATCGCCGAAACCAGGACCGTCGAAATCGTCGAAACCAGGATCGCCGAAACTGGGTCCGTCGAAACCGGGATCGCCGAAACTGGGACCGTCGAAACCGGGATCGCCGAAACTGGGACCCCGAAACCCGGATCGCCGAAACCAGGACCGTCGAAACCGGGGCCCTCAAAGCCGGATCAAAATAAAAATCGACTAAATTAATTACAAGAAATATAAGTTAAATGAAAATGTGTTTCCTCTTTTAATAATTGTAATAAGTTTCAAATGATGTAATATCCTTAAAATTTTGCGACGTCTTCATAGTTTTGTATTTGACCTATTAATTTTTATAATAAATGCATAAAAATTCACAATGTATATTGTTATCGTGAACAGGTTATTACTAGAAGTCTCGATCGAGAGCCAGACTCGTCAAACTACAGTAAAGACTTAATGAGAACAGATTGGTGTTGAATATGTTTGGTAAACTGTTCGACACGTTTCACTGCCCCGCTTATATCTCACAGAAGTCGTAGGAAGTTGGCGACAACCTCGTGGATAGTTTTACGTCATCGAGACGCAAGGACGGTTTCTAAGATCGCAGATTCAATTGATGATAAACTGTTACCAGCTTACTCTTGATCCGTTATGAAGCCTTCGACACGGTGAAGGTCCTTCCCGTTGCAGCCGCTGCTCTTGAAAGAGAGAGTCGCCTTCAGGTTCGCTCCGCCGCTCTGTTTGATCTCGAGGAAGCCGAGCTGCTCCATCCAAAGTTGGCCCACCAGCACGTTGTGCAGTATACAGTTGATGTTCTGCCAAGTGTACGCTTCCTTCCATCTGCGTGCACGATTCGCATCGATACAAGAAGTATTGATTCTACGGTTCTACTCGAAAAACTGCGAACAACGAATTTCCTGCGCCTTCTTCAACGACAAAGTATCCCCCGTAATGGATTTTTAAAAACCTCCGAAATTCCCGATCCCTGAATTTTCGAAGTTATTGTAATTAAGGAAATTTTAAAGTTAGATAACGTGCTCTGTGCAGAGTGGTCAATAACTGATGCTGACTGGTCAATAACAACCAAAAGAGGGGAAATTCTACATGCAAAAATAAAACGAAAAGAGAGAATAACATTTTTTCGTTTATGACTACGTTTTCGAGAGGACCGAAGAGAATGCAATTTTTATTCGATATTCGCGAATGAAAGAAATATTATTCTACATTTTTATCTGATTTTCGTGCATTCATATCGTTCACCCCTTCACCCCGGTTGTAGCACCCTTGACATGCGATATCAAACATTTCAATCGTTTTCCACCAGATCAAAACATTTTATTAGTACTTTTTATGAAGAAAAAGCTCCAAAATAGACGGAAAAGAAATTCTAAATTTTCGAAATACTGCAACCCTTTCAATTTCTATGTTCATTCAAATTCTTATTTTCGTTAATCATTTTCTAACTATCTGCAGAAGGCAATACTGTTCTCACGTTAAATAAAAAATTCCTTATGATGAACACAGAATGATAATACGATTTATTTCCATCGGGTGACAAATTGTCTTGCATTTTCGAAACTCGCATGTACCATAAACGCATACAAAATCCGCGGTCAAGTAACAACGTCATGCTGTAGAGGAACTATTTTATCTGAGTCAGGCAAGTGAAACACTGCTGGAATTATGACAGTTTATCAAATACTTTCTTATATTCCACAAGTTTAGTAACGAAACACGAGCGAAGGTGCGAGATATTAAAGTTTTATGGTACCAGAACGCCGAAGTTAGTCCGAAATATGATGTTCTAGATTGGGACAGCGTACTCACTTGGGAAGTTCAACTGTGACGACGCCTTTTGGGTGGATTTCTATGGACTTGCCCCAGAATTTTAGTTTCGGGTGTATGCTGCCGTGGAAAATGAAATCCTCGTTGTCGGCATGGAAAGCGGACACCGGCGGATGATGCGACACTTGCTCGCAAACTATCCTGAAATACAGATCGCATCGTTGTTCGTTATTATCACTGTGCAAATTACAGCGCTTGAAAATGAATGAGAAGATATAAATTAACGACGTTCAATAGCATTTTGTCTTTCAGTTCATAATGCGCGATGTTTTATTGGACGAACCAAAGTTATCTCTAACTCTAAGTTTTATGGGGCGACATACGTACAATATCGATAATAAAGTTATTCACATGTTGCTCATGCGACGGATAGTACCTCGGAAATGTCAACACGAACCAACCATAACTGCTCCCACCGAAATGGACGAAGCTGATACGGTTATTCGCGAACACTAAATCCTCGAAGTTTACGATATCATTCATACCCATAAAATGCATTACGACCCGTAGAATGAACTGAACGCTGTGCATGCTGCTTTTTAAGCGAATTTCGATAATTTCGTTCTAGTACACGCAGAGGGTCCGAGTTATTCGGCAATGCTCTACATAAACGATATTATACGTGCGCTAAACGTAATACTTTAACTTTATGCATCCTCTAACAGAGCAAATAGTGTTCGAATGCTTGTTTAGTTACCGGAAGTCCTCTCGTTCTAGCTCGTACGTCTCTCCCAGGATGGGATTGAAAGGTTTGCCAAGTCTCTCCCAATTTGACGCTAAAGCGCTGACAGCGAAAGCAGCGATGTACTGTAACATTGGACGAAATTCGTTTTTCTATAGAGTAACAATTATTCTCCATACAATGGACTTGTTTAAACTTGAATAATTAATAATAGTAATAATAATTGCATAGTTTTATCAATGTAACAACTAAAACTTATATTTAATAAATTTATAGACATAATCAGAGTAAATTCGTTCTTTTTTCAGTTAACAATACATGCAAATACTTTGCTCAAACTTCAGGAAAATTTACGAATACGATCATATCAGAATTTACGAGTTTATAACATTTTCAAGAAGAGACGTATCTTCAATTTCCCATCCGTTTTATCATCATTCCATTCGATTATATTTTTATATGATGCTGTAATTTTGTACAGCAGTTTCGAGAATTCTGCCGAAAATTGTAAAATTGTAGAAGCAGTTTTGGAGCTATTGTATAGGATGGATTGAAAGGTGCAGTTCACCTGTAACCTTCCAACGGGGGTTTCCTCTTGAGCCGCTTGCTTGAGCAATTTGGCGTACTCCATGTACTCAGCGACCCGTTGAAGGAACGAGAGCGGTTCATTGAAAATGACGGGCATGGTGAATTTGCTTAGATCCTTGCCCAGCGATAATGCTGAACAGATATTCACTTCTGAGTGGCCAGGAACTGGTAACGTTGTTCTATAAGAAACACCCATTTCAAGATATTAACGCCATGCAAATTAGTTGCACAAATTTTATCCTAGATGAGCTCGTTTCTCAATTTTTCGATCAGAAAATTCCTATTTTGAATGTAACTGCGATAATTAAACTGCGGATTCTATGCATTCGTTGCAGAAATGGGTACCTGCAATTAAAAACATTAGATAGTTTAAAAGAATAGAAAAATACATTATTTTCGTTCCATTAAAACGATTGAAGGAAGAAAGAAATTCCAAAGCAATTTTGTTGTTGTTGTTAGTAATAGAAGCGAATAATTTGTATTTTTCATAAAGATCCGCGGTATGTTAATTACGATAATTGAACCGTGGAATTTATGCATTTATAGTGTGAAAATGGGCGAGTAAACATTGAAATAGTTGGATAAAATAAAAACATTTAAAAACACCGATACATCGTTTACAACTCGGAAAAATTGTGGAAAAGAAAGATAAATTGTTAAGTGGTCGCTGCGTTTTGACATTGTCGTAAACAATTTTTATTTTGCATAAAGATCCGCAGTCTAACGATAACACACATGCTGGATATCACAATTAAAGGAGAAGCTAATGAAGTAGTAATCAAACTTTATGCGGCATTATGAAATGAGTTCGATAAATGCTTGTTTCTAGATTCTTAAATCAATACAAAATGCTTTGCATTATTTACAATAGGAACTTGGAACTATTGAATATAAATGAATCTAGTTGAAATTGTTAAATGAAATTAGCTTACATAGGTATTGCAATACTACGATCCTTTCACGTTTGTAACTAAAACAAGGAGAAAGTCAAAGGTGAAGACGTGCTAAACCACCCCCTCCATGATTAGGTCTAAAAGAAACATTTCAAAGTCGCCTTGCGAGTCAGGCACACTATCCTAAATCAGCTCGTATCTAAATTGTTCAGCGCCGTCTATATCGATCAAAATTTCAGTTTCCGTACATACAATATTTCTTATATTTTCTCAATGAATATTCGGTAACGCGCTGACTAGCGTTGCTATGCAAAAGCTGATTCTAATAAAAGATTCAAGTTACAGTTCGATCTATAAATATTATACACAAAATGTTTACTGTTGCACACATGTTGCACTATTTCGTATACTGACTAAGCTTCGATGGTCGAATTCTTTTTTCAGCTAATTTCGTTTCACCGGTCGACTGTGACCAGCGAGGCAGTCAACCGGTTAACGATACCGGAAAATATTACTTAATGAAGCCTTAAGTGGACCATCGTACAATCACTTACGAGAATACGTTTGAACGTGTTCTCGCCAGTGTTTCTCGGTGATTATTATTGCATTCCCAGAACAGTTTAATTGAGAAGACTTTAGCGTCGGAATGTTAAAAAACTTGTATTAACGCTAAGAACCACCGACTAATGTATATTGTTTGATAACAACGACGAGATTGGATTTATTTAAACTTCCTACAATCTTTATTATAATAAGTGCTTCAATGAAGAGGTTCATATAAAAATTTCTGACAAAAACATTTTCATAGTATCAAGAATTGTAAAAGCAAAAATCGGAAAGCAGTCATTTTTACCGGTTGTTTGGTAGTTCTAGTGTTAAATTGTTGTAATAGACGCTTTCGATATGATCAAAACTCATTGTAATCGGTCAGAAATATATGACTCCGGTTCCAAACGTTTAACAACGACGATACTGTTATTTAATGATCTCTATTTATCGGCACGTTGCTGTCACAAAAACAATCCCGATCTCAAGTGACATTTCTATTTAAGTGGGAGTAACAACAACACGTTGACTGTCACGTCCATCGCGTACATCGACGACAGTTTCTCACCGATGTGTGTGTCAAAAATTACGTTCCATCGTCGAAAAACCGAAACCGGATTTCGCTGCGATTTGCAGAAAATCCGAGAGCAGTTATTATCGCTAACATGTAACTAAATTATTTCGAGTAGAAAGTCCGGCAAGTCAACGTGAGAGCATACATATTTAGCCGCCAGCACACGCCAATCTACAATCTAAACGACCGTTCTACAAACGGCGTGACCCTCAAAAGCAAGCAGGATCGGGAATCTAATCGCGTCCATGTCAAAGCAACAGACAGGACAATCGATTGCCCTACAAACGAGCTTCTGGCAACAACACTAAATCGAAATCAATGAATCCAGCAGAATTGGAGCTTGCACCGCGAGCAATTGCGCAATTTCTAGAAGCGTGTCCCACGTATTCAGCACTACAGACAGCTATCTGGAAGAGCGATCCGTACACGAAACATCGAAACGCTTATCGAGCAGGTTAAATCGTATCAGTCAACAAAGACGATCGCCGGACTCTTCGGGTGCCTGGCCGGGCGAATCGACGTCGTGCTCACGTTCGATAGCGTCGTAATGAAAGAAATCGCTACCCTCTAACTACACTGGTCACACACCTGTATCGTCTGTGTATCGTGTCGTTGGCCATTATACGGATCTGTGGTGATTATCGAGCGGCCTTTTGTCCGTTTCGGAAGCGGCCCGGTCGCGGAATGCAGCTCGTCGGGTTTTGCGGTCCACCCTCTGTCGACGATGCTACGACGTTCAACGACATCCGACGATTAGGTGGATCGAAGGCGATCGGGACGACGGCGGTTTACGGGCCGCATCGTCGACGTGCCTCCAGCGGGATCTAAGCTGCTACACGCGCAGAGAACAAGTACAAAGAACCGACACGGTCGCGATCAAAGAAGTGGGGGTGGGCTAGGGTGAACGTACAAAGACGTCCTCTCGCGTTCGCCGAACGATCACACTCTCGTTTATCACCGCGCCATCGCGATTACGTTCCCGTCGGCCCGCGGAGGGATTGACAGAGGGATCGGCTACGAAGGAACACCTCGATCACTTAACATAGGCGATCGCCATAGGCTTGCATCGGATGCACGGACTTCTGATCAGCTGGACGCACGGCGACCACACGTTGGGCATGCGGGCGTGCCGAGAGCTCTGGCGCACCCTCTTGTCCCTCGACCTGACCTCCTCCCTCCCTCCCTCTCCCGTTCCCTCTCTCGCTTTATCTCGCTTTATCGCGCTCCATCTCCCTCTATCTTTCTCTGTTCCCGCGCTCCGGCACCAGAAAATATCAATAAATTCGAGCATGGTTGTTGTAGGCCGCGCCGTGCTCTTTCCGTTGGCCGACGTACCCCATTCGCTGCATCCAGCGGCCCACGCGTGCGCAACGACGAATGCGAACAGTTCTCTAACCGGCTCGAATCCGTCAGATTCAAATTTTCGCTCGGCTCTTTAACACGTTGGATGCCACGTTTATTCGACGTGGCTCACCGGTGGTCTGGACGGATAGGAATTTTTGTATCATGCGTTGCTTGTTACGGTGAAATGTTATCCGCGCTGGGCAAGCTCGATTGTGTAATCTTGCGTGGCACGTTTGTCTTACCGACGGTGCTCGCGGTATTTTAGTAACGATATCGAGAAAGTGACACTAATTTTTAACTAGGTTTTTGAAGTTCATCTTTATTGTAATATATTGAACGAATCGATTGTTACTAGGATTTGTAGAAGACAAAATAGCTGAATTAATATTTCTTATGGAACATTTTTATTTTTTAACTTTGGTTTCATTAATCAAATGACTTTGAGATTGTGCGAATTTTTCGAGTTGATATTCGTAGTGTCCGCACACCTTTTAAAACGGTATAACTTTTTCAAAACTGGTGTAAACGACTCGAGTTTTTCTTTTTGTAAATTTTAGAGGTACTATAGTTCGCTGTACAATGATTAAAATGCTTCTTTTTTTAATTTTGCTGTTACTTAGAATAAAAAGGGTATTTAAAAAACTCTCGTTTTTTCGCTCTTTTTACCTGAGCCTATCATGAAAATTTAAAAAAATGCATTTTGCAGATCTTGGCAATTTATACGCATGCTGCATCATCGAAATCGATTGATCTTGGCATAAGCTATGAACATTTAAAAATCGCGAATATCGCAGTCCACGATTTTTGTGAAAAGAATATTTGGCAAGGTTGAATTTGGAAGACCTTCTAATTAAAAAGTTCGACTTACGTAATCGAAAACGACGATATGTAATTGACGTAGTATAACGATATTCTGAAGCATCCTGTTTATATCGACTACTTTAAAAAGTCCACGCAAATTGCTTCAATTTGTCAGGAGATGTTTAAACGAATCACGAAAACTTGACATTTCATCTCTGCGCCGAAACCTTCTTTATTCGACGCACCGTGCAACTCCTCGGATGTTTTTCCATCGTGATTTCCTCGACACTTCATTAATTCAAGCATCCTGCTGCTTCGAGGACGACGATCAACGAGAGGGCAATTACACGGACCGACGTCGAAGAAATTCTCTTCTGTACAAATTAGCCAACTTGCTTATTACTGCGCCAATTTGACGGGACACAAATTTTTTACATCCGATTTCACATTTTCTATCTTCCTAAATCGCCGCTTTTTCCTTCCATTACGTTCAGCCCGCGTTAGAAGATTCTGCGAAACCTGCGAACACCGCGTTTTAACAATACTTTTAACAAATACAATATTTGAACAATATAATTTTCTCAATTTAATTTAATTCAATTAATAAAAAGTGTGTCCTCCGTTTACAAGTCGTATGCAATTTTATTGTATTTAATGAAAAATTTCGCTACGCTTTTCTGTATTCTTCAAGAAATGATTTATTCATTCTTCATTAGAAATATTATTGTATTTCGAAGAATGTACGTTCAACAGAGAATGATATCTCGCCAAAAACAATACGAACCAAGGGAAATATATACATCGTTTGGAGAAACTCCGATCGTTATTCCAAGCGACGCAATAAATTTCTTGATAAATCTATTTATATAAATTCTAATGTTAATTTCCTGATAACGTCAATTCGTTGGCCCGATCTACTAATGTCACAGCCGAGATTGCGCAACAAGAAATATGATTTCAATCGTTTAGCACGGCATCGTATAATAACCTGCCACGCTAACGTGAGTAACAGGCTTTCTTCTGGTTCCGACGCGCCTTCTACAAATATTCCTCGTGCCCCCTTTGTTATTTTGCGGCAGAATAGCGAACCGTAGTACGGCGATCTCACGGTCGTTTCAATGAAACGCAGTTCGTGCAGGCTAATCAAATTCATTTTATATTTTTTCGTGACTCATCGTAATTAGTTGTCGATGCAGAAAATATTCGTTGGATTCCGTGCGGACAGCTCGTGAAACGTGCGGTTGCTCGAAGGTTGGACAGCGTTGCACAATGGTCTGGCGAGATTGTAGTTATTCTTTAAATGAATTATACTTAGGCTCACGATGAGTCAACTGTCGTGCGTTGTAATTGTGGCATCAGGCTACGAAATAATCGATTACGAGAGATCAGTTGCTCTCTGGCTGGTACAAATGTGCACGCAAGGTACGTGAAACGAACCTTCGATAAGAACAATATTAACACGTTCCGTGCCACGTGTACCATCCATGGTACACGCTTGCATGTTTACTTAGTGAACTGAACAAATTGTTTACAAGAAATTTAGAACCGAAGAATCAATTTCCACCGCAAGAATGGGCGTTGATAAGTTTTTGTTACGTTGTTATGTGTACGAGAATTAATAATTGCACGTAATACATCAAGTTTTAGTAAAATATCAAAGTGTGAAGATTCGAGTAAAAAAAGCT